TGCACAGACATGCCACTTCAGGATGCCAAGGCTGCGGGTTGCGGACGTGTCTCTGTCACAGATTATGTCCACAACCCGAGGTTCCACTGTACATGAAAGAACACAAATTTGCCTCTGCATCTTTCTGCTTGTTTGCTTAAAGAAGGTAGATTTCCAGGGGGTTGCTGAGCTTTTTCTTTTTCTTTTTCCTGAAAAAGGGTGGTAGGCCCAATAAATTTGGGGCCCTCTGGACTAGAGGGTATCTTTTCAGAGCTACAGAAGCAGGCTGCTTGTGACGGTCTGCTTGTGATGTGGAGATTGCCATGGGTTCATAGAGGGACGGACTGTAACACCTGTTTTCCATGCAGAAAGTCCCAGTTTCTGTCCCTGGAATCTGAAGAAGGGGGGCGTGGAATTGGTGCTTCTACCTGAAACACTGGAGAACATCTGCTCAAGAGGGTTGAGGGAACCTAGAACAGATTTAGCAGGTATTTATATCATGATAAAAGTGCCATGAGTGACAGCACATAATGACTGCTATGGGCAGCAAACGAAAGAGGTGTCATGCCACAAACCCCCCCCCCACAATATATAGTGCAGGTGAACTGACCCACCCACAGCAGCTATGTCATGGTCACCACAGACCCTCCAAGTGTCCCTTGGACAGTCCCAGATTTACAGAAGCCATCCTGGTTTCTAATTTGATCCTGGAATGTCACTCTTTTCCTTAGAAGGGTTTCATCACAAAAATGTTGGAGGGTATGGAGTTAGGTGACCACCCCCTCCCCAAGCCAAGGAGATAAGAAACTATACAACCTTTAGAAGACTTCTAAAGGCAGGGCTGTTTTTAAATGTTGAATGTTTTAAATGTTAAATGTTGTATTATATTTTTAAATATGTTGGAAGCTGTTCGGTGTGGCTGGGGCAACCCAGTCAGATGGGTAGGACAGAAGAAGAAGAAGAAGAAGAAGAAGAAGAAGAAGAAGAAGAAGAAGAAGAAGGCAATAGGACATCCCTATTTTCATTGGAGAAATGTTGGTGGGTATGCCACTAGTGTGGAAGGAACATAGTGGGATGTACATACAGGAAAAAGTGATATTCCTGATAGTGTGGAAAATCAACTGCAATGCCACATGTAGCTTACAGAGGAAGAAGAGGAGCCATGGAATATTAGGCGACCCCCAACCAGACTATTCTTCTTTTGCCACATCCAGAGCTGCACTGATTCTCTCATTTTCATTTGCTTATTTATAGGTTCTGGTATACCGTATATTTATTTTTATTTAGCATCTTTACATCTCTTCATAATTCACTCTCAATATATTTGCATTCCTGTTCTTATTTACCGAAGCATCTATTGTAGACCTAGAATTTTTTTACTCTGAATGTATTGCGTCTTCCAACTTCTTGGGATATTAAGTAACCTCCAGCTGAAAATCTTTTCCTTCTGTCTTGCCTGTCAAGTGGAACTGAACCTAAAATGGAAGAGAGTGACAGATTTCTACCCCAGATCCATGATACAATTTCGCAGATGGTGAGATGCGCAACCTGAGCGCATCCCCACAGGCAGTAAGTCAACATGCGCCTCCTAATGGTCATATGGACTGACCCTAAAGGGCAATAGAGGAAGAAGCTGGATTGGACAGCAGGGACTGTGAGAGCAGGAAGAGGGGAGATAATTCCCGAGGCCCTCTTCTACATGGGACTGAATTCACATTCCTTGGCGGGGGGAAGGGAGCTTTTGCATTCTTTCCCAATCTGTGTGGTTTCTCCAACCCCAAATTCCTCTTTGATTTGAAACTCATCTGTCTCCCACCTTTAAAATGAAACCACATTGCGAGGCAGCTCACAACGAAACCTGGAAAATATATAGGACAGTCAGTGAGAACCACAACTAAACCGAACGCGAAGATACTAAACAGAAGCAATCAAATCTAGGTCACTGGCTGCCTACCTGAATAATAATAATAAAAGATTTCACTTTTCTTTTGGTTTTCTCAACTGCTCTGGGTGGAAAGACTCTGTCCTGTGCCCAGATGGTTCGTGGATGGAATCTGTAGCAGGGGCCACATGCTGGTTTGTATGAGGGTCCCAGGTTTCCCAGATGTATACATACCATACAACAAAAATGTGTGTGGGCAGAAATCCCACAAAGAGGACACCAATAGCCTTCAGGGCAAGGAAGAGCAGCAAAGCTAGGGGTTTAGAAGAACAGAGAGGTCCAGGGAGTGATTTCATCTGTTTGTTTTGCTGGAGAAAACTTGAGAGTCAATATGATCTTAAAAAGTCCCCGAGTGATTCATGCCAAAGCAAACAGTCTACCTCGCATCCTTCCTCCATCGTGCTTAAAACCGTGTATGCCACGTTTGCACGTGACTTGTCCAATTTTCTTTTGCAGCCCCAGCACAAAATTGCATACACTCCAACATTTCTCCAGTGAAAACAGGAAGGTCCCATTCCATAATCATAATTTTTAATTTTTACTATGTATACCCCACACATCTTACTGGGTTGCCGCAGCCACCCTGGGTGGCTTCCAACATATATAAAAACATAATAAAACAGTAAACAGTTTTTGAAAAAACTTCCCTATACAGTCATACCTCAGGTTACAGAAGCTTCATGATTTCGGGTTGCGTGATTTCGGGTTGCGCACTGCGCCGAACTCAGAAGTACCAGAACGGATTACTTCTGGGTTTCGGCGCTTGTGCATGCACAGAAGTGCTAAATCGTCCTTTGCGCATGTGCAAAAGCACCGAATCACAACCCACGCATGCGCAGACGCGGTGCTGCGGGTTGCGATCGTACTTCCTGCACGGATCACATTTGCAACCCGAGCTTCCACTGTACAGGATTGTCTTCAGACGGCTCGGGGGGCGGATAATTCCATATCCTTAAACATTTGTCCGATGAAAATCAGGATGTCGTAAGGAAAAGTGTGACATTCTGGTATCAAATCAGAAACGGGGGTGGCTTCCCCAAATCAGGGATGTCCCTGGAAAATAGGGACACTTGGAAGGACTGCAATAAGCTATGCATAAACCATTTAAATCAATGGACAGAGGCTGTCTTAAATTATAGTTTCAATGTCTGAAGGAAACTTCCTTCCATGCCTGGTCTGGTTCATCATCCCCACATGAGCCTTATGAAGCAAGTCTCATTTTTACAGATGTGATCAGAGGCTGCCAGACTATGATCTGCCTAAAACCACAAAATGGTTTCTTCATGGAGCTTTAAGTGGAATCTAGGACCCCCCCCCCAAGGCCCAAGTCTATCCATAGGACCACTGTGGTGGTGGTCTGTCATAATGTCTGATTCTATATTTTTAGTGTACTAGTTGTATTTTGATTCTAACTTTGGGGAGCTGTCCCCCTTTCCTTCTATTCTTAATCTGTGGTAGGAAGGTTACATCTGAAGTTGTGTATGAAAAGGCTACCTTTAAATGAAATGCAAATGTGTGCAAAAATATCCCTACAGCTTTTTTAAAAAAGGTTTTAGATGTTCTTAATCGCTTTAAAAAAAAAATCAATGTATTGTTTTATTGCTTTTTTGTAGACTGTCCTAGGCATTTTGGGGGAAGAAAAGGCAGGATGTACATTTAATGGGGAGGAGAGAAAAGAGTGAGACTTGTCAGGAAAGGTTTGGAGTGCATTTCATTTTGTGCACTGTACCCCATTCTGTTATGATGAAGGGCTGGCTGGAAATATCCTAAATGAATAAAACAAGCCCTCTCCACGATTGCTGCTTTCCCCATTCAAATTCTCCATTTACCCAAAGGTGCTTTTCCCTAAGGGCATGTGTGAATGGTGCACAATTTCTTTCATGGGTTATCTACAAATGGTGCAAAACTATGTTTGAAATTTCAAGGTGGTACCTTTGGAGAGGGTCTGGCATTTGCATACATTGTGTGACCAGGGTGGGGTGCAGGGGGACGACACACAAAGCCAGTCCATTCACCCTCCGTCAGTCCCTTGACTTGTGCTGGGAATCAGTCTGATATAGGCAATGGCAGTCAGAGATGACTTGTTATTCCTATGGTTTTCCATTTCAGGGTCTGGAAACTCCTCCACTAAAGAATAATCTCAGAAGCAGCCCAAGTATCAGTGGAGATACTGGAAATGTGAAGTAGTGAAAATTCCTGGGTGGGTTGGTAATTATGAAATGGTACCTCTCTTCCTTAATCTGTTTGCAGAGCTGTATGCAATACTTCTTTTCAGCAGGAATGCAGTTGTGGCACCTTTTGGGTGCGTACCATTGCAGGCCCCACAGCAGGGGGGAGGAGAGGATGGTGAATTCTTGCACCTTTTCCCCCTAGAAAAAATAGCCCTGAGCACATATACCAACATTGCCTCTATGGGAGACATGGATTAATATATCCATTTAAAGAGTATGCTGAGTGGGCCACAAGGTTCCTGTCAGAACTGGATACAGTTTGGGAACTGGGGAGGGCAGATCCATTGGGTCAGTGACAGGTATGTTTTGATCTAATAGTTAAAGCTATGGTTTTCCCAATAGTGATGTATGGAAGTGAGAGCTGGACCATAAAGAAGGCTGATCGCTGAAGAATTGATGCTTTTGAATTATGGTGCTGGAGGAGACTCTTGAGAGTCCCATGGACTGCAAGAAGATCAAACCTATCCATTCTTAAGGAAATCAGTCCTGAGTGCTCACTGGAAGGACAGATCCTGAAGCTGAGGCTCCAATACTTTGGCCACCTCATGAGAAGAGAAGACTCCCTGGAAAAGACCCTGATGATGGGAACGATTGAGGGCACAAGGAGAAGGGGACGACAGAGGACGAGATGGTTGGAAAGTGTTCTCGAAGCTACCAGCATGAGTTTGACCAAACTGCAGGAGGCAGTGGAAGACAGGAGTGCCTGGCATGCTGTGGTCCATGGGGTCATGAAGATTCAGACATGACTAAACGACTAAACAACACCAACAAAAATTCATTGGTCATTTTTATATTAAAAAAGGAGGTAACATTGCTTCAGTTATGGATACGGCAGTTAAACAAGCTCCACTTCATTTAAAGTTTAATAAAACGTATATTTATTGCAAACAATAATATACAAAAAGGTAAGTTGTACAGAGAACCAAAAGGGATTTGCAAACAAAACGACCAAAACGGAAACAAAACAGAAACCCAACCTTACCTAAAACTGATTTTTTTAAAAAAAGGAAAGATTGTTTTTAAGTTACAGAAATACCTTAGAAATATCTGCTTTTTTAATATAGAAGTAGAAAAGATACCATATTATAAGAGTGCTTTAAGATTTTCTTCTACTGTATTCCCTACAAAACATTAACAAATATAACTTTTTTTAAATAAAAAAGTTGGCTATCTTTTTTTTAAAAAAGCAATCCTTAACTGTTCAGCCACCACTTCACCAAAGGTCAGTTCCTTGCCCTAAATATCCTCCCAAATCACACAGTGTGAAGAGGTGGAAGATGAGCTGCACACTTTGGCAGCTACCAGTCCAGAACCACTGCTCCGCAACTGTCGTTCATTTCCATTGAGCTTTCAAGGGGCAAATATGAGCCCCATGGAAATGTGCAAGCCCCATGGAAAAGAAGAGGGCTTCCAAAGCAGCAGGGATTGGTGGCTGCACCCACTGTCGCTTTGCTTCTCTTGAACAGACCAAGGCCTGCCCTACAACACCCATAGAAGGTGGTGGAATCTGGAGGTAGTAGAGTGGATTGTACCACTTTGGTTTGCAAGTTGGGGGGTATCGTTTCTTTCGAATGCTTCCCCTCACCCCCTGTAAAAGAACTCCCTGCAATTATAAACAACAACAATGGAGGGTTTAAATATAAAAATCCCATGGGGGAAGCATTAAAAATGGCAGCCCCAACAGTAGCATCAAAGCTTAAGTGGTACAGTCCATTCTACTACCTTAACTCTGCTGGCCTGTGTACTCCCAGGCGCAATATGTAAATCTGAAAGAGCTGAGGCAGAAAATAAGGCAAATGACTCAGTGATACACTACATTTGCAATCTTTTGTGTCTACAATGAAAAACAACAACAACATATTTTTTTCCAGTTTATCCTCAAACAGGAGGGAAAAGAAGAAGAAAGGGAGAACAGAAGAGAAGCAGACATACTTGCACAAACCTAAGACACATTCTGAAGGAATAATAATAATAAAAAGTACCAAAAAAATGGGAATGAGAGGGATAAATAAAATAAAGGGGTTATTGATTTAGACCATAATTTAACGATTAGGCACCATATACTGACTCTGGAATTTCTGTTTACATTACAAGAACTTCTAATGCGGAAGGGGGAAATGGAGGAAAATCTCTTGATTAAAAAACTCTCCCCACCCCCGCCACAAAATAAATATATATACTTTTTTAAAAAAGAAAAGAAAAGGAAGAAAAACACACACACCAGTGCTGTCATCCATGACCTTTGTTAAAGTCGATATCCCTGCCCTGCCCTGCAAATTGGGTTCATAATGGATTTTGCAGGGGGGCTGTTTTCTATGGACTGGTCAGCATCTGTTTCGCACATGGGGAGGGGGCAGTGCCAGAAGCTGAAGAAGGCAAGTCATGGTAGGATTTGTGGCATTATAATCTGGTGCTGCTGGTTGCATTAAAAAAAAGAGAGAGAGAGCTTCAGACCTTAAAAAACTGAACTGTCTTCCTCTGAAGCCTCATATTTCCCCTTGGCAGTGAGAGAAAGAATTACGCAAGCTCTCTTGGAAGATATTGCAGGGTTGCTGTTAAGGCTTTTCAATAGTGTTTCTTTAAGGCTTAAGGTGTAGATCTTCTTTTTCTTTCAAACCTCCCTCCTCCCCTCAAAAAACCCTTTTACTTCCCAGCTGGAAAAATAAAGTCTATTTCCAAATCCACAACATCACATTGAGTAACTGATCACTGGTTTGCTTTTCCTTTATCCACATTTTTTTTTTGCTGCCTACAAGCAGAAGACCATTAACTATACAAAAATACCTCTGGCTAAGGCATGCCATTTTGCTAAGTGTTGTTTAGCTGTCAAAATAAGGAGCATTTAAAAAAAAAAAGTTTCTCTAAAAACAAGAAGTACAATTAACATATAAAATCCCCTCAAATTGGTAACGAATCATACACAGTACATACTAAACGAAATGAAACAAAATACTTAGAATAGAGCATATTCCTCACAGAGGAATACTTTTGAGTTTTGTAATAATAAAAAAATTATTCGCTTTTCATTTTTAGTTATTGTTAAAAAATAATCACCAAGTCCATACCTAGGCGAACTAAGCTGGCTGTTTTGGGAATGAAAATCGCCTCGAAAGCAAAGGTTCTAAGTCCACCATGGAATGTTTGTTTATGGAGCAGGATTCTCCAGCTGATTTCGGAAGGATGCTGTAGTACACAAAGCATTCTGGGATTTTCCTTTCTCTTACTTGTTTAGCTTGCTGCTGCTTCTTCCTTTTTTTTTAAAAAAAAGAAACTTTCACCAAAGTCTGAAGACGCTTTTTGCTGTCCGTCAAAAACCTTACGGCCTGGTGAGCTGTGTGTAGACAGGCTGCTCCCAGTGTTGCGGGCTGTGGGTCTGAGGAATGGAAGGCACCCCGGCAGTGTCTGCAATGGGCGTGTACATCGGCCTCTGGGCGGGGTTCATGTACGTGAAGGTAGAGTAGAGGCTGGAGCTCTGGCCGGCAGCGTGGCTGTAGTACGAGTTGGAGCTCTGGTGGTCTGTGTAGTCATACTGCGAGCGGGTGATGGTGGGGTAGGAGGAGCTGTAGTGCTGCAGGTTGAAGGAGCTGTAGCTGATCTGCTGGGGCGAGTGCTGCTGCTGCTCACTGTAATGGCTGGGGCTCAGCTGCTCCGTCTTGATGTGTGTCCTCTGCTGGGCCTGCCCTGGCTCGCTGCTCAGCGTGGTCAAGGTGTGCTGGGGTTGCTGCGGGGCCTGCTGCGGCGCCTGGGACGGCTGTGGCTGAGACGGCGGCTGCGGCTGCTGCGGCTGCTTGGACAGCCAGACATGCCCCGTGCTGGCTGGAGCGGCTGCCGTGCTGCTGATTCCGTAGCTGCCGGTATAGGTGACTTGGCCGGGCTGGCCATGGGTGGCCGGGACCCCGGGGTGGCCGTTGGGTGGGAGATACTGGTCAAACTCGTTGACGTCGAAGGTCTCAATGTTGGAGATGACGTCGCTGCTGAGCTCACCAATGTCCACGTCTCGGAAGTCGATGTGGGGCGGCTGCCTTCCTCCTTCCTGCAGGGGGCGCCCTTCCCGTTTCAGGTCCTGCTTACCGGGCTGCACATCTGTTTTAGGGGTAGTGGGAGGGGTCGGTGGCCCTTGAGACTGTCCTGCAGGAAACACAAGAGAAACGGCGTCTGTCAGAGTCAGCATGCTACTTTCCCCTCCACCCCTTTGAAGTCAAAACTGCAGGCAGGCCACACCTGGGCCTATCTTCCTACTGATAAGGGGTCCAGACAGAGTGCCATAAAGCACTGGAAATCTAACAGCAGCCATTTATATATATATATAAGCAGGAGGTGTTGTATTACGATGATAATTCCATTAATGGTTAACTCTGTCTAGAGGTGAGTGAAAGGAGAGGGTGGTGGTAGGGTGACCAGTAATAAGGAATTGCCACTGAAGATAGCTGCATGGCTCCTTAGATCAGTTGTTTTGTACAGCCAAAGAAATTTGTACCTGTGAGACTGTGCTCTGCTGAAAAAGAGGACAGTTTATAGAGCTGGTTTGCAAAGGTGCGAACTGGATTGGGACGTTTTGCTGGCAGAAGCAATTGCCTTATGCAAAGAGAAAGCCCTTTTGAATGTGTGCAAATGATGCTGTGTGCTGTCGTCCGTGAGACGTACTTACTGACAGTGGTGGCCAATGACCTGTCACCTAAAGAGGACACACACATCTGCACGTGCTTTGCCCCTATCGCACCTGTTATCCTGTTCTATAGAGATGCTTCAGGATGCATAAGGGCAATAGATCGCTAAGTGTGCTCTTTTTCTGCATCCACCTGAATGGGAGCAGCCTAATTCATTAAAAGAATAATAGACAGCTCAGTGTGGTGCTGGTAATGCCAAGGTTTCAGGTTCAATCCCCATACGGGACAAGGGCATATTCCTGCCTTGCAGGGGGTTGGACTAGATGACCCCTAACAACTCTACAATTCTATTATTTCTACGAGCAGAACCACAGCACACGGCACACTTACCAGAATGTTCTCCAGGGGAATGCACTTCACTCATGCTGGATGAAGACTGGGGAGAATCTGCCTGCAGGGCCTTGAAGATGGCATTCGGGGAGATGTGAGTTTGCTCAGATCCTTCCTCTTGCTCAGCCTGCCCATTCTTGACCGACTTTCTCCTTCGCGGCTGGTACTTATAGTCTGGATGGTCTTTTTTATGCTGCACCCTCAGCCTTTCTGCCTCCTCCACAAATGGGCGCTTCTCACTCTCGTTCAATAACCTGGGCGAGACAGAAAGGGCCTTGTGGTTACTTACAATGGTGTCAACTGCAGAGATTTCCAGAATGTAGCACTTAGGTCATATTTCATTTTGCAAAAAATTAAATAAATATCAGCCTGTCTGCAAGAGCACTGTCCCAGGCAGCTGTTGAAGGCTGCAAAGTTGTGCAAAATGAGCTTCTGGTCATACCAAGGTCACGATCCAGATATATGTGAACATAGGACATTATGCCAAAATGTCCTAGCGGCATAGCAAAGCTGGCAAGGAAGGCAGTTTTTAGACATCCTGCTATCTGAGCATTCTCTCTCTCTCTCTCCCCCCCCCCCCCCTTTTTAGGAGCAGACTAGAAACTTTCTCTGGGACCTCTGAGCACTGTCAGAAAAAGGACTTGGTTGTCCAGTACTGCTAAGTTTGCCTCTGCCTGTTCCTTTTCTACATCATCTTAGGGTTCCTTTTGAGAACTCTGCTCCTCTTGCAAGAAATTAGCAGAGTGTTTTGGCTACTTTCAAAAAAGACATAACAAAAATCAAGCCACTACAGGGACTCTGCTCTGGCCCCTTGGAATTTGGTTGGAGCCATCACTCAATTCCCACCCACCCCCACCAACTAACCCAGGACACACTCACACAAATACAGATTAGGAGCCAACACTTTGGGTGCCTCCAGGCACCAGCACAAACTGCCCACCATTTTTTTTTATAGCTAAACTCAACAACAACATAAACCTTTCATTTGCAAATACCATTGATCTGTCTCTCTCTCTTTTTCTTGTGGAAAGTCACAAGCTTATGTTTCAATCAGTTGACTCACTTTCTCTTAACTCCCTGCTCCCTCCCTCTTCCCCTCCCTCCTGTTGCAAGTCATCTTTCCGACTCAACCTCCTATTGGTCCACACTTGCCAACTTACACCAGCAATCATCACATACCCAAACGTGTGCCATTCATGTTTTGTCTTGAGAACAGGGCTTGAGTTGTCAGAGCTCAACCTTGTAATGTGTTTGTTTTTTAATGGGCAGGTGTGTACAAAATAAATTATTCCTGGGCATGTGCAGAGTGCCTTTCAGAGTAACCACAGCATATTTTTTTTTTAATGGGACAGCTCTCTCCTAGGCATAATCTCAAGGCCACTTTAAAAATAAGGGGTTTAGCACTGCCTCATCATTTAGTTGCTGTTATAGTGCAATCCTATGCAGGTCTACTTTGTTGTGAGCCCCTTTGAGTTTATTAGGACTTCCTCCTGGGGAAGTATATATTACAGCCTTATTTTCTGGTGTTGGCATCTCATTGAACACAGCAATGCTGCCTTCCCTAAGCTAAAACAGGACCTCAAATATGGACACATACAGTGGTGCCAACTTGAATAAAATATTGGGGGGGGGGGCAGGTAAGCCCTGCCCTGCATAATTGATCACATGACACGGCACACACGCACTATTTGAATGGCAGTGCCCATTAACTTTTTGGGGGGTCCTGGCCCCCTCAAATATTTTAACGGAGGGAGGATGAAGGACCCTCTAGGAGTTAGCTCCTATGAACATATATGCCCACAAACCAAGGTACAAACGACATTTTGATCCAGAACTTCTCTTGCAGAACCCGATCGGATTGCACTCAGAAGTAGCTCCCACCCAGTCCAAATGCCCGGTTTGCCACCTGCATGTGAAGTTCAGTGGACACACTCTCCAAGAGCTGCGCGTTAGTTGGGCTCTCTTCACGCTACCTCTGCGGAGGAGGAGGAGGAGGAGGAGCTCAGCATGGGATCTCCAAGCCCCAGATTCCCACCAACCACCCCTTTGGAAACGTCTGTCCCTGTTAACATACATTCTCTCTCTCTCTCGCTCTCTCTCGCTCTCTCTCTCTCTCTCGTGCGCGCACCCAACCCACGCGTGCAATTTCTCCCTTCTGGCCCTGCTCCTGCAGAGCAGGGAGGCAAACTTGAATAAAATATTGTGTGTGTGTGTGTGTGGTTTCCAGATAAGCTCCACCCCACATTATCGATCTCAAGACGTGGCACACAAACACCATTTCAATGGCAATGGCCATTAACTGGGGTGGGGTGGGTGGGCGCAACTTTGGGACCTCGGCCCCTAGGACTGGCTCCTACGCTGCACGCTGCACAGACAGACCCCGAGTGGCGGAAAGTAGACTTTGCCAAGGCGTGGTGATGCAAAACGAAGCACAGGAGCCAACTTCTAGGGGCTGAGGTTCCTTCGCACCCTCATAAAATATTTGAGGGGGCCGACCCGCCCCCCCCAAAAAGTTGACGGGCATTGCCATTTAAATTATGTGCGCACACCATGTCTTTTGATCTGTTAAGTTATTTATTGACTATTTTATTCAAGTTGGCGCCCCTGAAGCTAAACAATCAAACCATGGATACCCTCCCCGTCCCTCTAACTATGGGCTGCGATCCTCTGCACGCTTCCTCCGGAGCAAGCGTGCCAGCGCCCCTTGGGCAACCCGCTTCCTTCCCCCCGTTGCGCCCTTCCCCAGCGCTTACCTCCAGAGTTTGCCCAGCGTCTTGCTCAGCTCGGCATTGTGCAGGTGCGGATACTGGTCTGCGAGCTTCCTGCGCGCGGCCTGCGCCCACACCATGAAGGCGTTCATGGGGCGCTTGACGTGGGGCTTGTTCTTGCTGGATCCGTTCACGCGCACGGGCATGGGCACGAGCGTCCAGTCGTAGCCCTTCAAGACCTGGCTGACGGCTTCTCGGATGCACACGGGGAACTTGTCCTCGTCGCTCTCTTTCTTCAGGTCCGGGTCGCTTTTGGGGAAGGTGTTCTCTTGGGGACGCGTGTTCTCGGTGTCCGATCCGGAGCCCGACGGGCAAGGGGAGCCGGCCGAATCGTCCGACATGGTGGGGCTGGGGGCGCCGGACAGGCATTTCTCCTGCTCCTCGGTCATCTTCAGGAAAGGGTCGAGGAGATTCATGCGAGAAAGCGACCCGGGGGAGGATATCGGTGGAAATGAAAAAAGCGAGCAAGAGGGGGTGGGAAGAGGGGGTGGGTGGGGGGAGGAAGAGGAGGGTGGGGAGGGGTGAAAAAGCGAAAGTGGCAGGGTCTCTTAAAACTGCATGAAAACAGGCGAGCCCAGCGGCAACGACAAGGAAAAGTTCGCAAGGGGCACCAAAAATGTCCCGCCTGGGTTGCAGAAACTGGAAAGAAGACCTCGGATCTCGGACGCTTTTGCAAAATCGCTGCTGTTGCTGCTGCTGCAGATATTTGCTCTCAAGCAACGGACATGTGGGCAGCTTTTTCGTGGATAGTCAATGAGGGGCTGTCGGAAGAATATATATTAAAATATATATTCCACCCCTTTCAAAAAAGAAGGAGAAAAAGTTCCTCGGAGTTTGCAAGGTAGAGAAGGAGAAAAAAGAATATATATATATATGTATGTATGTGTATATATATATATATATATATATAGGCTCCCAAAATCACCTAGTCGGCTTCAAGCTCAGCTCTACTAACTTTCTCTCTGGGTCTCTTTAATAAATACTCTCCTCTGCTATTTCACCTTAGAAACTTTCAGCCAATGGCAGGCCTGCCCCTGGAGGGCTGGCACACAGCTGATTGGCTGAAAAGTTTTTTCTCTCTCCCCCTCCTTCCTCGCCGCTCTCTGAAGGGAGGGGAGAAATGAGCGCAGATCTCAGAGAGGAAAATGGGGGGGGGGAGAGGGAGGGAGGAGGGAAAGAGAAAGTTTGTCGCGCGCTGCAGTTGAGCCTTTGTACTTCCCAACTCTTGCGCTATATATTCCTCCGAGTAAACTCTTCTCCTTTCTTTTTCTACTTCTTGATCTGGGCAGATTTCTGCTGAAGAAAAGGCACGAAATCTTCCCTAGCAGATACGTCATCGCTCGGGTAAAACTGCAGAACAAATGCTTGCTCGCGCGCTCTCTCACTCGGAAAGAGCTTAGAGATCCTCTGTATGACTCTCTGTCTGTCTGTCTGTCTGTCTATCTGTCTCCCCCCTAGCTTTGAATCCAGTGATTTTTCTGACTCACCTCTCCTATGGGAGGGTTTGTTGTTTTTTTGTTTGCTCATCCTAATGCTTTATCCATACTTAAAAGTTTCAGGAAGAGAAGGCGAGGGTGACTTCCTCAGCGCTGCACTGCAATTCACGGCGTGAGAATCTGACCCAGAGGTTTAGTTTTAAACACCACCACCCGTTCTACGCTATATACTTAGGCTAGGACGACTCCTTTTAAAAATGGTTATCTTTAATATCCCTAACTCTGGTCTTACACTGTGCAAAGTAGGGTTAGTGGTGTGTGTGTGTGTGTGTGTGTGTGAATGACAGTAACACCCTCCTCCAAAATATCACGCTGAGAGTGATCTGCTGTGTAGGAACATAACATGACCAAATTTCTATTTCAAGCAGATAAGACTTTCCACCGTAAAAGTCAACAGGTACAAGCTACTATCCAACCCAGGGGCTTAACTAGGGAGTAAGCGCCACGGAAAGCAGCGAGACTTATTTTCAAGTAAACCTGCACATGGGCTACGCATCTTTTTTAGAAAGGGTTGATCTTATGGGAATGATCATCAGCTACACATCCTGCCGGGAGGGATCTAATATATTTTAAATCCCTATAATTCAGGATTTTCTTCCTCAAGCGTGATCCTTCATCATAAAGACAGTACTTGGATTTACTTGTTAGGCTCGCTGACATCCTCTCTTCCAAGGCCAGACGCAAAGCAGGCGCAAGGGGATGCATTATGCCTCGAAATTTATCCCCATCGCTCCCCGCCCCGCTGCTCAAACCACGGAGAAAGAGAAAGAAGTTTTCTTCTTCGTTTCATATATATATTCAGATGGATCTCGTTTCAGAGACGTCTGTTGTGAAATGTTTTTGATTTTTTTTTTGAATCAGATGCTATGCCTACTAACCTCAGGTCTTCTCTATATATACACACGCACATACATATAAATACCTATTGGCTTTGCAATGTTTCCACAATATTTCCTTAAAAGTAGGTGACACAGCGGGAGGAAAAAGTTTTCCGTCGGATATAAAGAATGCACAGCACGGGGATGCGCTCTGGCACAGCCGAAAAGCTTGGCTGCGCCAGAGAAACGGCTAAGGAGAGAAAGTGGGCGCAGTTTGCGATTGATTCGCCTTTTGATAATCCATCTATCGAGACGTCATGCGCGCATCCCACTGTCTCGCTTAGCAATTCGACAGCCCGTCAGTTGTGGGCGCTTCCCGCATTGCAAACTCTTTAAATCATTAGCTGTCATGTTGCCTTCCCTAGGACAGACGCCATTCCATTGCCTTTTTGCTTTGCTTTCCGTGCACTTTTTCCACTCTCCTTTCAAAATTTTCTTGGAACTTTTACAGTGACTTACATGTATAAACAAATCACCTTTGCTGCAGATCAAGTGTCCTTCTCCTTTCCATCCAGAGGGGGCACCATAGGCTCAGAAAAGTAACCCCGACGTTTTCAAGGCTGCTAGACGCTCCTTCAAGGTGGCACACGCACACACACACACACACACACGCACACACACACCCAGAGCACCGCACCTCCTGAAGAGCACGCGCACACACTCGCACAGATTAGTCTCTAGCGATTTGATATATCAGGGCTCGACTCCCTCTTGCCACCCTTACACCATCCAATTGTAAATATGTAGCCAGCCTCTCCGGGTGAAACGGCTTCGGAGTCAAGGAAACTGATAAAGATATCAAAAGTTTCAGAGACAGTTCATTTTAAAACAAGCAAACTGCTTGGGATAACGGGGGTGGGTGGGCGCAGATCGTCACCTTACACGTCTCTTCTTTATCTCCGCACCCGCAAAATTTCCCCATGACAATCCCTTTCTTTGCCTATTGCATTTGTGCCCCCCCTTCAAAAAATACTGATTGCTCTCGAAGACCCCTGACTATATCGACTTTTCCTGCCCCCTCCAACCTAGAAAAACTAAGTCATAAAGGGGAGGGGGATTAAAAGATGCAACCCTGTGTACAATTTCCAATTGCGAACGTATGTGTAATAAACCCCTATTGCTCCAAGCACAATAAACCCCATTACGCGCAAGCCAACTTCTAAGCCAGCATGTCTAGGATCTACTGTAGCGATTCACACGTACACGACGTGTTCCACTATGGCTGAAACTTATCTCAGTGTGTCTTACCTCCCAGTTTAAGTGGTACCAAGGGAAGGAAAAAGGGAGCCACCCTCCAGTTGCTGCCTCTTCTCCTTGTTGGATTCAAGCGATAACTTAAATATTTTTTTCCACATCCTAGTTTCCCCTCATGTGTTTCCACTCTCAGGATACATGGATAGGATCGGGCTGCAGATATGTGTTTTGAGGTCCGGGGTGAAAGGACTCTATGCATCCCCCTTCCCAAGAGAGGACTTGATCGAGGGGCAATTGCATTGCTGCCTCGAGGCAAGGTGGGCGCATGTGTTTGCACTTAGTTGCACACGGAGAAGAGGGCTGAGCCCCTAGACAACCTAGGCAGGGCTTCTTTTAAGGGCGGCGGGGGGGGAGTCGCACAGGGGGGTGCCCTAGATGGTCGAAAGGACTGTTGTGGAAAGGATCAGGCGGAGAGTTGCCCGACGTCGCTTGCCAGCCACGGCGCCCCCGCCGTCAGTTTGGGAGGACGCATCTTTTCCAGATTAAAGAAGGCGCATTGTTATTATTTTTTTAAGCAAACAAACCCGAAACACACCACGGGTTTCTGCCTCGGCTGCTTTTGGACTTGTGTCCTGCGATCAGGGAAGGGTAAAATCCTGCGAGGACTCGAGGAGTCAATCTAGCTTGGATCCCACTTAAGGGACCCAAATCTTCTTTTCCTTCCACCACCGAGGTAGGCACTTTCCTGCCGTTGTCACAGGCCTGGTGGCGAGGAAGCCACATGCTGCCCCTTCCTGAATGGCATTTTTTCCTGGTGGAAAACCCTCGTTTCTTCCCTTCCCTTCCAGCTCCCCCCCCCCTCGCCCACGGCTCTTGTGCTGCCCAGCTATTCTGCCAGGGCACCCCTGGTCTGCGAGAATCTGCGCCTTTTATCTTGTAAAGTATGCCTTTAATACGGCATTAGGACGATGCAGAAACAGAAGAAAATTAAGGGTATAATTGTGAGATCCATTTCCCTTTTGCTGTCTTCACAATAAATCTCCCCCAAAACTGCGTAGTTAACACTGGAAGAGTTGAAAGATAAATGGGCTTTGAAAACATGGTTTGGGAGGGGGGAAACCTTTGACAAAAATAACTCGAAGGGGGAAAGCTCACGTTTTCCAGAGTACACTGTAATCTTCTTATCCCTTGCAACGCTTAGAGTAACTTTTCACTCCCCTGGAGAGAGAAACAAATGATTTCGTTTTGCACAATATGTACCATGAGTTTTTCCTTTCCTTTCCCCCCTTTTAAACCTAGATTCAAATTTTGAGCAGCAACCGGAAAAGGCTTTTAATTTATTTATTTATTACAAAATATATACATGACTTTGGGACAAGGTCTTTTTCTTTCGTCGAGAAGGTGTCTTTGTTGCATTGATTTTCTGTGCTAAAAAGCAGAATATTTCAGCAAAATCGCAGCGAAAGATTACTATTCACCCGCCCCCCCCCTTGCTCGAAAAGAAAAGAAATATACGGACTCGGTTGAAAACTGAGTAGACATACAGTCGGTCTGGGGATGCTTGATGGGCGACTGGCAGAACTAAACCAAAAGAACAATAGTTTTGTTCGGTTGAAAAAAATAATCATGAAAACTACAGCCTATTTAAACAAGTTTTCATTCAAGAATAGAAGCTCTTCAATATTCTTCCCTCGATATTTTTTTTTCAAGGAAGCGAAATATTCTAAGATAAATACATTAGCATAATAACCATGATACAAATTAATGATAATCCGAGATCCAGAGATCCGTCTTAAACTCGCTGGTCATCGATTCTTCCTATCCATACAGACAGGAATCTCAACCACCTTCCTAGTTTCACGTTAGACCTCCCCTCTTTTCAAAACCCGAGACCTAAAAACACCCCAGCAGACCTTGAAACGATGTACTAATAAGAGTCGCTTTTAAGAGGCGTTTTATTTTTCAAAAGGAGCGTGCTTTTTCCTCCAAAAGGGGGCCAGACAGCGTTTATAGCGTTAATTTCGAGGGCTTCCCTGTTGTGCTAATTCAGGTCAGTGTGGGATTCTCGTGTGTGTGTGTGTGTGTGTGTGGTGGGGTGCAATCTCTGTTTTTCAACCCACTGAGCGAGGAAATGAATTCCAGAGAGATGGCTGTCTCGCAAAACAACGGCAACCTTCGAGCGGTCCTCTTTCCCCCGGGCGCTCCAGCGGCTCGACTTTAGCGCTCTAGGCGCATCTCTGCGAGGGGCAGAATCTCGCAACCTAAAGGCGCGCGCAAAATATCTCCTCCTCCGCCTCCTCTTCCCCTCCCCTCCCCTCCTTTCCCCCTGCAAACTTTAGGGATTTCTAAAGCCCCTTTGTAACGGATCCTCCTTTTCCTCCCCTCAGCCCGCAGGAGCATTCAACGCGCTGAAATCTCAGGCACCAGAGCCGCAGTTGGCAAAGTGTGATGTCACCCACAGATGCTGGTGACGGAAGCTTTGAGCAGACGAAAGTGGGTGGCGGCGGCAGCGGCGCCGGGGCGGTGGGGGGGGGGGCGGGAGAAAGCCGGTGTGTGGGGGGGGAGATGCAGACTGTTTTGTATCTGCAGGGTTGAGGGGGAAAGGAAGGGTAGGCAGCCGAGATGATGCTCTCCCGGCCCGAAACTGCCTAAGAATGGACACTTATTTGGAGGAATAAAACGCAGCGGAGTTGGCCACGGTGCGCCAACACATCCCGCTATGTTCTGGAGGCGCACGAGAAGCCTGTTTTTTAAACACATGCACGCACAGAACCAGAGGCTAATGGAAAAAAAGGACCCTGGGTTTTGCTTTATGCAAATTGCTCTTAAACTAATGCATTCCACAAACGCAGAGATCACCGATAAGATTAGATGCCGTTTTATACACCCCGCTCCCCAGTATTTCCTAGGCATGCAAATATCCAAAGTTAAATAAAGTATATTTTAGGGACCTTTCCTTTTTAAAAAAGTTCCCCTTGAAGCCTTTCTCTTGCTTTTTAAGAAGGGTTACTCATCTCATATCTCCGAATAATATTTTATGTCTTCCTAACCCCCCCCCCCACCTACGTTTCAGGGGAGGAGCTGGAATAAAATATACTAGATATATATCCAATTGGCATTCATTTAGTTTTTAGAATTAAACAAAAATGCTTTCATGGAGGATATAATATTTCTGTTTTGGTTGTTCTAATTCTGATAAACTGATGTGTTGGATGCTGTATATTTCGACGATACTTAACCTGCTCTCTCACTTAACTAATACAAATGAAAAGTGATAGATTTCATCTGACCATCTCTGAAAGGTGGCTTGCAACCCCTTCTCTGAAAGTGAAAAGTAAAGTCAGATTTTTTAAATATATATATCTGTAAAGGCTGAAGAATATCAGTGTGGCTGTCCTGTAGTAGGAGAGATACTATATATAATATGTATTATACTATATACTTTACTGTACTAAATAAAGCATTATTATAGTGTGGCAGCTTTAGTGACTAAAGGTTGTAGCTGTAGAAGTGTTTCTCTTTATGAAAGACTGGCAATGTCTTGTTAAGGGGAGCAAAGCTTAGCCACTTAATAAGTCTACATTCTACCAGTCTGGTTGTGGATTTGCTTCGCAAGTGCTTGAAAGTCTCATTATCCCCTTTGTTTCACCTCCACCAAGAATACAGCAAGGGGTGTTGATGAGGAGGGTTAATTTACATTTTGGTGCTAATGTGTGGATGAATATGATGCCTTGTTTTTGTTTTTGCTTTGCGTGTATTAAAGAATTAAAGGATACTATCTCAAAGCTGCCTTGAAAGTTTTCTAAAGATGCAACGTACAATTATAAAATACGTAAATAACATAACTTAGAACTCTGGTGCAAGAAGGGTCCTCTTAAATCAAGTCATTCTCCAATATATACTATTTGTCAAAAGAAAACTTTAAAAGTCCATTAGTCTAAATTGCCTCCTACATGTAATGACCCAATTCAGCTGAAATGAAGGTCTTTTTAAAATCCTGCTGGTTTCAGTCGGAGATAATTTAGCAAGTGCTTAAACACTTTTTTCCTGAAAGCAATGGGATCTAAAAGTGCTGTAACTCTTGAGGAAGTAGAGGATGGCGAAAACAACAATAACAACATTCCTGCTTTTATGTTTAAATTAAAGTTCAAATGGTGTAATTGGTTATATATGTTACATTTAGTAATTTAGTCAAACAATATGCTTTCCCTCCATTCCCAACATCACAATCAGAGTGTCAGGGTTCATTCTTGTATCCAGAAAAGGATCATATTGATACATTTAAAGAAAATAAAACTTCTTTTAAAAAGTCACACTGCTTATTAGAAAGTAGGATAAACTGTTGCATTGAAAGCAACACATCTAGGTAGAGGGCAAGTCTGCAGCCCTGTACTTACCTACCTGGGAGTAAGCCGCTTTGAAGTAAACAGGGACTTGTTTCCGAGTAGACATGTGTAGACTTGCTTGCATTGTGAATCATGCTATTAATTTGTAATTGGGGAGGTCAGTTTGATGCATGCATGCTCTGCAGAATAGTAAAAGGAGAGCAAGCGAGGGATTATTCACTTCCCTACTTCAAAGTAGATCAGAAATCCCACAACACCAAGATGTTAACTCAAAGTCATAACATCAGATTGATTGTATCATGTCACTTGTTTCCACAAGGCGCTCCAAATTCAGAACTTTTGAAGAGCTATTTTGCCTTGCTGTCAAAGTATAGAAGGGGTTTTGGTTATCTGAATGGCTTAGTCAATGTCTAAAGCAGTAAAATAATCAGAAGTTCAGATAAGAGTATGTTTTTCATAGAGTTTTTGTTTTTCCATGTGGCAGAGAGGCACACACGGAATCAAATAATTTTGAATAATTATGATATAAAGCTTCAGGTTAAATTTTCATAACTCTGGCTATTGGCTTATCTGATTTTCTGCTTCTTTCATGCTTACAAAAACCTGTCAGCCATTTTCAATTTGTGTTTTTTGTGTGTATAATTTTTATATATAAACAACAATGGCAAAGTGGTTCTGTTTTTTTGGGGGGTGGAAGCTAATGGAAATAGTCCCAGCATGGGCTAGCAGAGCTTGTGCCATAAAACACTTAAATGACTAAATGGAATAAGTATAATCAGTTCTTTGCTCAGAATTGATTTCTGAATCAATAAAATTGCATTGTTTATCATAACAGATTCCTCTCGGATGTAGTATTTATTTCTCCCTGTGTATTCACATTCCAAGAGTTGCTCAAAGAAAGCTTAAGTTGAAAAACTGGACTGTTTCCCCAAATGAGAACTTTTGCAGATTTATCCATAAAAGTGCCCATTTTCTCCTTTGAAACCCTGCTGAAATATCAGACCCACTTGATCCTGCTGGTGTGGACAGCTGGATCCTTCTCCTCCTTCAACCCACTAGAGGAGTTCTCGACCAAGATTTAAAGTTTAAAACAAACCCCACCCTGAAACTGCTTTTTGCAGACCATAAAGGGATTCTGAAGAGGCACTGATCTAATAATATCTGCTCATTATCCATCTCACATGATTTCTGCTGTTGGAACAGAGTTTTGCTAGAGAGGAAATAATCTCCCGGAATCACTTACTAAAGAGCATTGACCTGCCTTTCTTAAGAGAGGCATCAATTGTATCTGTACATGTATGTTTGTATAATTTAATGCCGACTAGCTTTTGTACTATGTTTTTGATTTGCTTTTAATGGTGTGCCTTTGTTGTTGCTTGCCTTGGGGCTGTCAAGAGAGGCAGGGCTGGGGCATCACCATCGCCATTAAAAATGCAAATGATCAGCCTGGCTAGATCAGTTGGTTAGAGCGTGGTGTTGATAACGCCAAGGTTGCAGGTTTGATCCCTGCATGGGACAGCTGCCTATTTCTGTATTGCAGGGCGTTGCAGTAGATGATTCTCAGGGTCCCTTCCAACTCTACGATTCCATGATCATGCTTTTAATCACACAGCCAATCAAAATAACCCTTTACAATATCTAAATATACACAATACTCAAATAATTCTGATGGCAGTTTCTGGATTCATCGCATCCAAGATGGTAGCTAACAAAATAGGAGACTCTCTTTGACAAACAAACATATGGCTGTTGCTATTGAGAACCAGCCAGCCATTATTTGACACATTTTGTTCCCATGTATTTTAATGAGGTCTGCAGAATATAAAACTGCTCAGATGTGGTTAAGATTGTGCCTACCAATACTACTACTTCTATAGCATTAGAAGTCCTGCCATGTGACAAACTAGTGTTTGTTTGTTTGTTTGTTTTGCACATGAGGCTATATGCGCACATGAAGACCCCAAATTGTTTCAGAGGGATCCTCATTTACAAGGTGTGCAAACCTGGTTGCTCTACTTCAGAAAACACAGAATTTTGATTCCATGGGAGCTTCCTACAATTTCTGGAAGATCTGATACACTCTGGTTTGAGAGCACCAAAGACATCGGAGTACTTCCTCTTTTTGGGTGTTTTCCAGGACCCAGTAGATTGCACCCCTGCCTGAATAAAAAGATATAAATCATTGATAGCTATCAGTAGGATTGACTCTTCCCAGACATGCAGTCCGCTAAATATTAGCATTTATTTCATTCTGAATGTTTATAGTCTAAGGCTGCACAGTTAGGCTATTTAAATCTTTTTGGCCTCGATCCATCCCAAGGAAGTTTAATCATGCCTTAAGTTCTGTTGCAGTCAGTAGGAGCAAGCTAGCTGTAACAACCTTAATGCCACAAATTTCAATGTGCTGTAGGTACTACTAACTTTTGTTGGTTTCGGGTCATTGACTCCAGTGATATTTAATCATTCTAACTGTATGCAGGATTGCAGCCTAAACCATTAATGCTTTCAGCCAATATAAAGTCATTAGTATTTTTTAGTAAATTAGTCACATACAGCAAGGACATAATGGTAACATTGAAGCTATAATTCCTGTTCCCTAATTCTTTAAGTTTTCTGTTGCTTTAACTTTTTTACTAGTTCAATTCACTTTACAGTTTTAGGATAAGCCCCTTTATTGGCTTTTAGCATGTGTTCCTTTGTGAATGTACTGTACAGATCGCAGTATTTTTCAGCGACATTCATGCATGAAAACATACATACAGTGATCTGAGTCACTCAATACAATACAATTTTATACAGGACAAGAACTTGCTAGCTTTAAAAATGTTAAATTGTGTCAGAATGTTGTAAACAATTTGATTTTACTTATCTCCATATTCATAATCTATTCTTTTTATTTTCATTATTATTGCTGCTCCTGTTGGATTTTTCTTATTTAAAAATCCGTATTTTGGCAAGCGGCTATTTAATTATGACATGCACGTCAAAGCTAACATGCTGTGAAAATTATACACGATGTTTCATACAGATAAATAAATGACAGTAAGTTAAAGCTAGCCGTATTCTATTTAGGAACCAGGCTAGTTTTAAATTACTGCCAATGAATAGTTCAAATTACATGGCCAAGCGACGGCTTACGAGAAATCCATCAGAATTGGAGGAGAGAATAGAACAACCATTCTCTCTACCTGTTTGTGTAGCTCCTTGCTAATGCAGGACAAGCCAGATTGTTTATTTGGAGAAGTAAAGTTGTGGAAATATACTTGCAGGGTGTAATGTGGACAGCACGTGTTCCTATGAGCTACCTGAAGTCTGTGTCCTAATAGTTTGCAGATGTCCTTGGGTCATTGATTTCCTATGGGCCAAAGAGCACAGCCCCTCGTTTCCCTCCCCTCCCAGCTCTTCAAATTAAAAAAGAGAGCGAGAGAGGAGAGGGAAGGGGGATCAGGGAAGTATTCACTTCTGGAACTTGTAAAATTGTTTGTTTGAGTTGTTTCCAACACTGCCCCAAATATTGAATCATTTGGAAATTCTAACTGCCAGGCCCATGCTCATTTAAAGCAATGATTTATTTGAAAAATAGAGAAATCTGCTCTGCGATTGCTTGAAGTTTGCTCAAGGTGGGGAGTTTATTTACACTGGGGGAATTTATTTTAAAAATCTCAGTTTTGCTCTACTGCATAATAAACAGGGATTCTCATGCATGTGGCTATATATGTGCATGCACACACAGACGGGGATCTGTGCTTAGGAGTGTGTGTTGCACACACATTTCGCGCACACACATTTATTTAGATGTAATAACGGTCTGTATACCCATTGGTTGACCTCCGCCATTGCACAAAAATTAGGGTATTTTGTGTGCATATGCACAGATATGTATAAAGATTGTTGGGCTTCCCTGAATGAATGAGTGACTTATAGGAGGAAGCAAAGTGAAGTAGACAAAGTAAAGTTAGTACGTATGTAGTTTAAGACACTGATTCCTGGAGGTGTCAATAAATGAGACGCTTATAGGTCTCTTATCCAAAACAACACCAGCTTCAACATATTGTACTCCAGTCAGCAACAAGTTGGCTCACATGAAAGTGATCGTTTTTTTCATATATCTCAGCAGTTATTCCTACATTGCCTCTTAATCCCACTCTTCCACCAAGGAGTTCAGGGGAGCATGCTTGGTTTTTCCCCAACCCCATCCACTTTTTTCTTATAACTAGGGATGGACAAACATGACAATTTCAACTTCTTTCAATTTCTCATTTTCCAGTCTTAACTTCAGTTTTCCACATCAGCTTGTGATTTTATTTTTGTGAGGAAAAATTCACCAGCACCTTAGTGCAAATTTCCCCCAATAGATGCAGTTTTGCATGCAGTTTCCCCAAAGGATTAGATTTTTTTTAACAAAGCAGTTTCCCACAATGTAATGCATTTCTGTATGTTATTCTCACCAATGTATGTATCTATACGCACGCTTTACCCAGGTGTATGCTCTTTTTTTTTTGTACACATTGCTTGGCTAGACAACTTTATTGCAAAATTCAGATAAGTGCAAATTTCAAAAGATGGATGTGTTTTTGGATATTGTTTTGCAAAGAGGGAACTTGGTAACTTTGCCTTTAAGCACAAACAGAATTGAATTTCTACCCCATCCCTACTTACAGCAAATCTGAGCAGCTGAAGCAGCTGAAGGATGAGAGGGTGATGGACTGAAGTTCACCTGCTGAGTGATTATTTGAACTTGGGCCTTGCTGATCGTAGTTTGACACCCTAAATACTGCACCACACTGATAATTCTTGGATCAGGTATGTGGAGTTTCCAGTGGCCACCAGGAACTTACCTATACATGGAAAGTACCAGAACTAGCATTTACTTGCTAATGTGGAATGGATGTCTTTGTGCGTACCCCTTGACTCGATCCAGTCCTTCTATGTGGGCAGAATCCACATATACTGCGGGATTCCCAAAGAACATAATAGTGACTTGTTGTCCGTCATGCTTCTTGAGGCTCATGCAAATGGTCACTGTCATAGGTTGTTGTGGCAATACGGGAAGGGCCCATAGGTCTCCCTCCTCCAGAATGGTTTGGTATGGTAAAGGTAAACTGACATTTGAGTCCAGTCACGAACGACTCTGGGGTTTGCGGGGCTCATCTCACTTTACAGGCTGAGGGAGTCAGCATTTGTCCGCTTCCGCAGGCAGTTTTTCCGGGTCATGTGGCCAGCATGACTAAGCCACTTCTGGCGAAGCCAGAGCAGCGTGCGGAAACACCGTTTACCTTCCCACCAGAGTGGTACCTATTTATCTACTTGCACTGCGTGCTTTCAAACTGCTAGGTTGGCAGGAGCTGGGACCGAGCAACAGGAGCTCACCTTGTTGCAGGGCCTCAAACCGCCGACCTTCTGATCGGCAAGTCCAAGCGGCACAGTGGTTTAAACCACAGCGCCACCCGCGTCCCTCGTTTGGTATGGTACCCACCCATATACACAAGCTAACTAGGGGAGAAGAAGGACACAGGAACATAAGAAGCTGCTTTATGGATCCTTGGTCCATCTAGCTCAGTATTGTGCATACTAACCAGCAGTGCTCTTCAGGATTGCAGACCAAGGACATTCCCAGCCCTACCTAGAGATGCCATTGATTTAACCTGTGTATAGCAGATGCTCTGCCACTAAGCTGTGACCCTTCCCCAAATACGGAACTGCACACTCAGTATTTTAGAAGAAACAAAGGCAAACCCATGCCACTGATCCGAAAACCTGGAAGAAGCATCCACTGGAAACACCATTCTAACCCAAAATCACTTTAAGTCTGAATCATGGTGTTTTCTAACCTTCTCTCCACTTTGGCAGCCTTTACAATTACAGTTGCAGAGACCCATAGAGACGTACTTAGGAGAAGGAGCATAACTGTATCTGTACATGAGTAGAATTAGATAATTGTATTTGTACACGAGTGTGTGTAAATGGAAAGCGTACGAGAGCATGCTCGTGTCTGCTCACGTCTCCCCCTCCAGCTGTTTTGCATTTTGCTAGGGAGAGGACTTTCACTCAAAGAAAACATCCAAAACAGCAGCAGCAGCAGCAGCAGCAGCAGCGGCAACTACCAATCCGAGCAGTACATCAAAGGATTTCATTGCATCTTGTATTGAAAGGACTTTGCTTTTTACAAATCCTTTGCAGGAGAGTACACAGTTATCCAAATGGCTTGGGAGTCATCCAGAACACTAGGATCACTGGGCTTTGGCAACATGGGATTATATTAACGTGAATCTGTGTAGTGAAGTTTAAATAAACAGTAATTTGACAAGAATGAAATTGGGATCATGGAGGATTATTACTCATTATTATGTATGTGTATCATGTACACTTACCATTAAAAAAATCACTCCTCACTGCAATATTATTACAATATGAAAACAATATTAACACAGCCATGGAAGTTGCTACATGCTCCCATACCAGATGAACCACGATGATGGTGATAGTTACATTTATATAGTGCATTACTACAAACATTT